GCCATGGAAGAGAAGGCTGTGTCATCTGCAGCCAAACACCCACCATTCAGTGAGGGCAACACAGCACAGTGTTATCAGGGAGGGGCCATGGCTCAGTGGTAGAGCATCTGCTTGGCTTGCAGAAGGTCCCAGGTTCAATCTCTGGCATCTTAATGTGGAGGATCAGGCAGCAGGTTAACTCGAGGGTATTAAACGAAGCCGATGGGCAGTAGTTTCAGGATGGGTAAAAGGAAATAGTTTTTTTACACCGAGTGTGATTAAAATGTGGAATTTGCTGCCAAAGGATGACGTGATGGCCACAGGAATAAACAGCTTTAAAGGGGGATTAGAGAGATTAATGGATGATAAGTCTTATCAGTGGGTACTGGTCATGGTGACTGAATGGAACCTCCACATTCAGAGGCCCCAACCCTCTGAATCCCAGGGCCAGGAGGCAACATCAGGGGAAAGTCTCAGCCTCTGTGCCCTGCTGTTGGCCCCCCCAGAGGAACTGGTTGGCTACTGTGTGAGACAGGATGCTGGACTAGATGGACCACTGGTCTGATCCAGCAGGGCTCTTCTGATGTTCTTAGGAAGGCCTTGGCCTCTCTGCCCTGTTGTTGGCCCCCCAGAGGAATTGGTTGGCTACTATGTGAGACAGGATGCTGGACTAGATGGACCACTGGTCTGATCCAGCAGGGCTCTTCTGATTTTCTGATGTTCTTAAGTGATGTGGAAGACCTCTCTGCCTGAGACCCTGGAGAGCTGCCGACAGTCTAAATAGACAATACTGACCTTGATGGACGAAAGATCGGATTCAGTATAAGGCAACTTCATGTCCAAGAAAGGTCTTAACATGTGGGTCGATTCCCCCTCCTTACTTGTATTTTTAAGAACGGGGATCTGAAGTACAACTCAGATGAAGTTCTCGTCCCATAACTACCAAATCCTAGTTCTAAACTCCATGAATCGTGTCTACTTCACGCAGGTCGACTTACCTGCATTGGTCCAGCCAGCTCTCAATCTTACTGGATGAATTACCTGTTTGAAACAAGACCAAAAGATGCATCTATCTACTGCTATTTATTAATTTGACTTTTTGTTATCCCGTGATACTTTGCGGTGACCCGCCTTTTCCTTCCTGACCACTGCCTTTCCTCTCTGACCCTTCCCTGGCTGCTCACCACACCGCACACACACACCCGAACTGGGATTTCTGAAATTTGTTAGCCAGTCAACTAAGGAAAAGCAAATGGGGGACAAAACTGTAGAGGAAAAACTTCGGGTAGGAGGAAGGGTTAAGCACACCCACCCCTTCCCACCCACCATTATTCGAGAGCCAGTGTGGTCTAGTTGCTAGAGTGTCAAACTAGGCTCTATGAGACACAGGTTCGAATCCCAATCTGCCATGGAAGCTTGCTAGGTGACTTTGGGCCACTCACCCCACTCTCAGCCTGATCTACTTCACAGGATTGTTGTGATGATAAAATGAAAAAGGAGAGAACGTTGTGAGCCACTTTGGGCAGAAAAGTGGGGTATAAATGAAATAAATATAAATAAATAAATCATATGCAGGGAAGAAACGGTCAGTGGGAGGGCAATGTTCCCTCTAAGCTGGGGAGTCTTGTGAGCAAAAATTCTACTTTGTGAGCTACTGGCATTAAAGTTGTGAGCGAGCGATTGGGCTGCTGCATAAATTAGTTTGCCCTGGAGCCCTCCTTCCTGAGCTAAGACAAAAATGTGTGAGCCGGAGGCTAAGAAACTGTGAGCTATCTCACGCTAACTCAGCTTAGAGGGAACACTGGTGGGAGGGCATTCTGTCCTTGCCATGTCAAACATTTTCCCTGGAAACATCAGTCCCCTCCGCTGCTTTTCCCCCTAAGCCTGAAAAGGGGACTCAACAAGCACGTGGAGAGAATAGGTCTTTCATAGGCTTGACGTTACGATGGCTCAGTGAAACTTCCAGGGTTGGAGGCAGTGTACCTCTGAATACCAGCAGCTCAGGGCAATGACACAGAAGGACTGCTGCCTTCTGTGGGCTTCCTAGAAGTATCCAGTTGGAATCTGTGGGCAACTGGATCCTGGGCGAGATGGACCTCGAGTCAAAGCCAACAAGCTCCTCTCCTCTTGTTTTATTTATTTGTTTGTTTACTTTCTAGACTGCCCTTCCCCTGTAGGGCTCAGGGCAGTGTATATCACACTTAAACATACAATACTTAGCTAAAACATCAGCAATCAATAATGAGTAGAATAAAAGCATGATTAGTAGCAAAAACCATGCTTAGTTGAATAAAACCACTGACAAAATCTATCTTGGATGTCTAAAGGTTGAGGACTCCTTTCCCGTCAGCCATTTCTCCATTTTAAATAGCCTCCCCAGCTTTATACTTGGTTAGCAAAAGCTGGCTTCCAACACCTGAATTGTGCTGCAATCGCATCTAATTAGAGCAGTCCACCTGGAAAAGACTGCGTTGAAAACTCCCTGTGAATTTTTCAGGAAAGGCATCTGTTTTGTTTTCCTTTTGGTACCCTTCTGCAGAAGGTACTACAACTGTTATTTCCTACATTTAAATCCCCTTCCTCCCCTCCACACTTGCTAAAAAAAAGGGAGAGAAGGGAGGGAAAGACAAGACAGGAAGCCAGAAACAGTTCTGCAAAACAAAACAGAGACGGCACAGCCCATCGTGGTCATGAGGGACCCACGGTGCCATCCTAGGCAGAGTTATATCCTTCTAAGTCCACTGAAATCAATGGACTTAAGCAGGGTGTAACTCCTTTTGGGATGGCGCTGTTCAGGCCAGTGCAAACAAAACTTTTTTTGCACAGAGTCCTTTGTTTAAACCTTAGTGACAGCCCTTCAAACACTTCAAGAGAGCAATCCTGTCCCCCCTCAACCTCCTCTTTTCCAGACTGAACTTTCCCCTCAGCCTTTCCTCATAGGGCTTGGTCTCCAGGCCCCTGATCATCCTCATCCCTCTCCTCTGCACCCGCTCCATTCTGTTAAAAAAGGATAGAACTTGCAAATAATGGGTTTAAATTAAGGGAAAGAAGGAAAGAGGGTACTGGCTGGATCTTAGGCGCAATGTATTGAGCCTAGACCATACTTCAGCTGATGCTTCATTCGGACAGAGCTTGAGGATCCATAACAATAGCTGACTAGGATCCTAGATTGGACCAGTAGGGAAACAGGGATCCTAAAATAGACCAGCAGGGAGACAGGGACCCTAGAGTAAACCAATGGAATAACAATATAGTGTAAATAGCCTATCGTGGGAGTGGATGTGTGCATGCATAATTTTTGCATGCATAAATACCTGGCTTCAGTCAGGGATTCTCAGTCTTCTTTCTACTTGCTGAAATCACTAATAAACTATGAACTGATCACTATATGCATCTCGAACCCAGTATATTATATTAGGGAAAACTTTCTTACAGTCAGAGTCATTCAACAGTGGGATCAGCTGCCTCGGGAGGTGGTGAGCTCCCCCTCACTGGCCGTCTTGAAGCAGCGGCTGGACAAACACTTGCCTGGGATGCTCTAGGCTGATGCTGCCATTGAGCGGGGGGTTGGACAAGATGGCCTGTATGGCCTATTCCAGCTCTGGGATTCTGTGAGAGTCCCCATTTGCAAGGATGTCAAAAGCTGAAGGCTGGGGTTCCCCAAAAATCCTGGAGAGCAGACACCAACCAGAGCTAAAAAGGCCAATGGTTTGATGCAGTATAAGGCCAAAGGCAGACATCATAGAGCCAGTGTTTGGTGACAGAGTGTTGGAATTGGGAGGCACAGCTTGAAATCCCCATTTGCAATGAAGCTTGCTGGGCTGGGTGAACTTGGGCTGGTCATTCTAAGGGCAGGATAAAAATGCGCAAATCAAGAGAAATAATATTACAAGAGATCTTGCAGCATAGCTGTTAACCACAGACAACTGTGGCTTCCCAACTGAAGTGACAGATTTGGTACCTAAGCAAATACTGCCGCAGCCACAGGCCCATGGCCAGGTTTTTGTGGTTTGGGGGGCAAATCTTTTTCTGCTGGGGCTGAAGTTCTTAGTGCAGAAAGAAAAGCCACTGAGCCCATTGAAAGCTGTTACTAGGATAGATCTCTACATTGCAAGTTGTCGGCCACTTTAGATGACAGTTCTCAGCTGCTGCAAGTTAATCACTTCTGCTAGCCTTGCAACAATTCAGAGAACAAGCCGGCAGGTGGGGGTGATGACTTCTATAGTCAAGAAAGCTAACAGGCAGAAAGACTCTCTTAAAGGAGACCAATTTCCTGACACAGAATTAGAAGGGATCCTAGAGGTAACCTACTCCAACCCCCTTGCTCAGTGCGGGATTTAGTAATCTACAGCACCCCACTCTGCTTAAAGTAGCGCACATCTTTTTAAAATGTTTTTAAATGATTGAAAAAAGCATTTACAAGAGAAATTCTTGTGGGGCTGTGCCTTTAAGAAAGGGGCTGAAGCCCCCAAAAGCCCGGGCCTGCTACAGCCATCCCTCTTGCATCTCTGCTTCAGGCAGTCTCTTCTGCTAACTGTGGTGTTTTCTCTGGCACAAGGAACCTTTCTTTGACGCAAGAGGTGACCCTCGGCATCAGATGACGGTTCCTTGCTCTTGAGGAAAGTGTCACCATTTGCAGAACAGCTCCACAAAAAGTGAGCATATATCTGCTCATTTGCCACCGTATTGTTTCAATAAGGAAACTTCTCTAGCAGTTGAAAATTGCTCCGGGGGATAGGGAGGAGCTTGTTTGGTGACATCACAGGGGGGCAGCCAATCAGCACCATGCTCTTGCCCAGCCATATTCTGCTAGCAGGATTTTTTTTTTCAATCCTGGAGAGGGAAAAGCACATTTGGGCCGCTGGCTCCCCTGCTGGACAAACCTTATGTCTGTCTTTCCCATAAGGTGCTTTTATGCATCTCCTCACCTTTCAAGAATGCATCTTCCAAAGAGGACCGCAGCTCAGGTGTTTCTTGGGAGCCACCGGACGTCTCCTCTTCTATAGCCATCCTGGGCCGTGTGCAGTAATGATTGGCCCATGCCTGTCGGCGCTCCCAAGAGGATGGGCTCAGGCGTGGCGAGGAACTCTCCATAGCTAGCAGGAAGGTAGACAGAGAGGAAGAAACAGTCAGGGGTATTTGATGGCAACCCAGATACCTTATTTTTCATTTAGCTTACAAGTCTGCTTTCCCCACCTTCTGAAATCTGGAAAGCAGCCTCTTTTTGGCCTCAGACTGGAGGTACATTTAATTTGAACCTCAAAGCCATGTATTTCCTTGATGCTTTGTTCATTCTTTCTCCTTTCTCATCTTTAACCTGGCTATTTGGGAAGAAGGGAAGCCTTTGAAAGTTATCAACATCTGATGCAATACTGAGCTACAGTAGGTTTACCATACCCCCCGCACAGGGCTATTTTGAGGCAGGAACGCACAGGAACAGAGTTCCGGCTGGCTTCAGAGTTGGCCACGCCCACTACAGCCAAAACCTCTGCGTGCCAAAACCTCTGCGTGCGTGGCTACAGAGGAAAGGCCTGGAGAGCGACACACACACACACCCCGTGGCTCTATGGTGGGCGGGCCCTGGAAGGTGCCCGGGCAAGCCAAGGAAAGGCAGTTTAAACTGCCTCCCCTCCCCTCCAAGGGCCGGCTTGCCCGGGCTCCCCTCAGCCGTGGGGCGCCCCGGCAAGCCAAGAGAAGGCATGGGGTGTGGCCTAATAGGCTAATGAGTTTCTGCTGTTGGGTGTGGCCTATTATGCTAATGAGTTCCTGCTGGGCTTTTTCTACCAAAAAAAGCCCTGCCCCCAGTAGACAGTTCCCCACCACAGTTGAACTGGCCAATGGCCGGGGCAAAGGGCAGCAAATGGGGGGGGGGGAACCAGCAGCATCTTGATACACTGGCATCAATCCCCATGCTCCCAGAACTCTATGGTTGAACCATAGAGTTTAGCCCCAATTCCAGAGCATCCTGGTGTTGCCCGACAACACTCCTATGTAACTTCTGGGAGGATGGAGAGTAATCTCAGTGCATCACCAGCCATGTTATTACATCCCCAGTTAGGCCCCCTGCCACTAATAAGTCTCCATGCCAGTTGGGCTTGTGTCTGTCTTGGCCTTCAGGCCTCAGGCTGTGGTGCTGGTGAGTCATGCGAAGGAAATCCCCCACCTGACTGGTGCTGCCGTTATCTCAAACACCACTTGGGGCTGTGAGTTCTTCTCACGGTTTGAGCAGACACAAGCAGCCTGCTGATCAGGCCTGCAAAGGGGGAGATGGTATCTAACCCTCGGTCCAGCTGTTGCTTGGCAATTATCTGCAATGACAGGGCCTCTCCACCCCACCGAATTTATTCAGAAGGCACACGGCCAATTGTCTGCCATGTTTTTGCTGGCCTCACTCATGTGCTGTGCAAAACAGCCTGATGCACGGAAGGGAAGCAGATTTCGATATTTTTCTGGGAAGAGGAGGAGGAGATTGGATTTATACCCTGCCCTTCACTACCCAAAGGAGTCAGAGCGGCTTACAAACTCCTTTCCCTTCCCCTCCCCACAACAGACACCCTGTGGGGGAGGTGGGGCTGAGAGAGCTCTCTTGCGAACCGCTTGCGAGCTCTTGAGAGGACTGCTCGTGAGAGAACAGCTCTGAAAGAACTTGTGACTGACCCAAGGTCACACCAGCAGCTGCAGGTGGAGGAGTGGGGAATCAAACCTGGTTCTCCCAGATCAGAGTCCGTGCGCCTAACCGCTACACCAAACTGGTGGGAGATGCAGGTCACCTGCTTACTCTTTATTGCTTCCTCTTTATGTGGAAGGTTGCTGCTGAAGGCAGTGCGGGAGCGATCCTTTGTTTTCTTCTTTTTTTCCTTTTTTGGCTGTCAAGTCCAGTGTTCCCTCTAAGATGAGTTAGTGTGAGCTAGCTCACGATTTTTTAGCCTCCGGCTCACACATTTTTTGTCTTAGCCCGGGAAGGATGGCTCCAGAGCAAACTAATTTAGGCAGTAGCCAAATCGCTCGCTCACAGCTTTAGTGCCAGTAGCTCACAAAGTAGAATTTTTGCTCACAGGACTCCACAGCTTAGAGGGAACATTGGTCAAGTCCCATCTGACTTATGGGGACCCCTTATGGGGTTTTCAAGGCAAGAGACGTTCATCGGTGGTTTGCTGCTTGCCTGCCTCCATGTCACGATCATGGTAGTCTGTGGAGGTCTCCTATCCAAATGCAAATCACAGCTAATCCAATAGAGTTGTCAAGGCAAGAGACGAACAGAGGTGGTTTTGCCTCTGCATTGGAACCAGAGGTCATTTCGGGGGGGATCGCGGGGGAACGCAGTTCCTCCGGGTGAGGTACGGGGGGC